GTATAGGGGGGTTGTACGGCTTCACCAAAATCCCCAACCAATGATGTGCCCCGGCTGCACATGCCCACCCATATATGCATGCAGCATCACGGCCGCTTCATACCAATCCCTTTGCTTCATAATTTGCTCAGCAAATGAATGAATACGAGCGTCGTCGTTTTGTGGGCGGGCGGGCGAGGAAGGCGTTTGGGACGGAATGTTGTTGCTCGATAGGGCGTTATAGAGGTACCCTCCTTGGAAAAGGCTCCACGCAGCGGAGCGCCTGTCCGAGGTCACGGAATTCTGTTAAGCCAGTCGTACAAATCCTACATCCTGTATAGCGATTTATCGTGCCAACTGCCTTTAAAACGATGTCGTGCGCTCGAAACGGTGAAGCAAAGTATGACCGCAGCCTGAAAATTCCAACAAAAGTCACCTCATCCTCTGGTGCAGCCTTCTGTTTTTCCGGGTAGACACCGGCTCGAAGGAATGAAGCTTTCCATGCGTCCACTTCATCAAGATTGTTGCATCCCAACTCGAGCTGTTTATAATCCTTATAGATATTCCTGAAAAACAACATTGACTTCTTTGTATAGTTCCACTTCAGTAGAGGTTGTGCAGAAGATTAACAACTTATAGCATGCCACATCACACCCCACACAAAGGAAAATCAATTCACAGGATAGAGAACTAAGCGAATGTAAAAGGAGAAATCTCAGACTGCTTTCAGCGCGTAGCAATGCAGCTAATGTTAAATAATCTACTCTAATCTATAGTTGTGACTGCACTAATAGCTGGTTGAAAGACTATGGTCAAAGAGTGCACAGGACGCAAATGCTCTCCTTTTCATGCCAAAGCTTGAGGAAAACACGCTTATGGGCAAGGGAGACCCAGTCTTCATGATTAGAACACAACCGACTCGCTCAGAAAAGGAGAGCGTCTGCATCGGACAAGCTGTTTCTATAGCGCATTCATTTACTATTAGGTTGGCCCATAAGTAATGACGCTTTTTTGTCACACAAATTTTTATATGGAAAATGACAATTGTTCCCAATATGTTCTACACTGTTTGATAGATAATTTTCAGCACTATAAGATAGCGTAATTGCATTCTTACTACTTCTCGACTTGTGTCGATTTCTATTTCGTGTCGATTTCTATTTCATTGACAGGGAAACTCGTATCGACCCAAAAGTGAGTTTTCGACAACTACTTTTTGAATTTTATCTCGGCTCTCAATCTACAGAAGAAGCTCAAACCTTGTGGTATATATGACCAAAGGAAAGATGCGTCTTATGACAGCTTGAAGTTGGTTCAAGCGATCAAGAGGTGGGAATTCGGCCTTGTAAAAGAGCATCGCGTGGGGGGCTCTTGGGGAGGGACTGCCTGCAGAACCTACCCACTTATTTTCGAACGTCTAACATCAACTGAGGGTGGTGGTTGATAATGATAAGGAAGCATTCTATGACCTCTAACGATCCCTCAATCTTTGGCATGATTCTCAGTTAATAAGGTAATTCCGTAAGCTCTCAGTTGGACAGAATAGGGCATTAGGTTCGATGCTTGTCTGTGAGGTCGAAACTGAAATCTTCGAATCACTTAAAGTATACTAGCATTCTTGAGAGACATAGCCTTCCAGCCATATAGCCAGCAGCTGGGCCCATAGTTTTAGCCTTTTAGGTTGTAGCCTTGTAGAGGTTTAGGTGCGAGGGTTTAATTAGGGGTAAAGGGGAGCTGTCGAAAATGCTCAATTCCGTCGACCTGACACTCCAGTTTGAGCACTTATATTAGTTAAAGGGAAACTTGAAGAGAACTATGAGGTCTGTCGTAAAGGGCAAGGAATTCTCGGCAAAACGGTGTGAAACTCAATAACAAATATTTTCTATTTCGAGTGGGGAAAAGCCACTACTCATGGGATCCAGTAACTCATTAGGGACGTCTACAAATATTGTCCAACCGTTTGGAGGTAATAAAGGAGTGGTATTATGAATGAGGGATACATAAACATGCAATGCATGTGTAAGTGTGTAGAGCTCTTCTTTTCATTGGAGGAAATTTTGGCAGAATAGGACCCTCCCGAGGCTGAGGTGGTGCAGTGGGAAGTGGCACGCTTAATACGCACACGCTGCGGGGATCAAATCATAGATCAGCTCCCACCTAAGAGCATCCTTGATTATTTGGAAGCGTGTCTATTCCCTCGCACACATTCCTCTCACTTTATTTCTTGTCTATTGACCGCGCAACAGTATCTCGTCTCTTCAAATGCTCATCCATTGTTCTTATTCGGGCCACTTTTCATCGACTTATCCGCTTCTTTTCACCCCTTTGTCAATCCGCTTCTCCAAGGCAGTTGCCGTATAGGAAATCATGTCTCCGATCTCACAGCCTAGGAATTGTACTTGCGCAATGCCTCTACAGGAACGAAGGTTTTCATGAGCAGAAACTGAGCAGCAGAGGATAGCAGAGATTGCCACGTGCAGTAGGAAAGTGGGTTAAATGGGAAACGAGCGTTCAATGCTAGCGCTAATCACACTACAACGATACAACACGACCGCTTATGGTTGCGCTTACGTAATGTTAGCATATGCTAACACATCATCACTCACTTCCTGAAATATTAATCAAAAATCTGCTGTTAACAGTGAGAGAGCTGAAGCGAAGGTTGCCCAAAGGATAACATTACGGCAATAGGAATTAAACAATCGCACCCCATTTACCAGATTCATTCACATACTTGTTGTTCTTGTTGCAACTTACGTTCTGAAAACGACCAAAGAAAGGTTTGGTAAATGGGAAATGCTCCAAGTCAGTAATATGAATGCAACGACAAAGCAAATGGTAATAGTGATGCAGGCAACCGCTAGTCCAACTAATTTTATAAGTGACTCACTTTCCGTCCGGGTAGAAGAGTGCGAACTTGTGTTGGCGAGACATGAACCCGCTTTCAATATCACGCAATTTGATACCGTCAAGCGGCAGCATGTACTTCTTTTCCTTCTCCTTAACAACAAAAAGGTAATAAACTCTAATAACAAAAGTAAAAGCCAATTCATACCTCGTCGTCCTTGAACCAGCTCAAACTATCTGACATCAGCACAAACCAGCAATCTTTCGAGCCTTTAATGAAGGAAATATTGTTGATGGACAGCCATCCTTTTCGAATCACTTGCACCCCAAGATTTTTCTTGGACGATGTTTGTCCCTGATTTGCTTTCGCTTCAGCGCTGAATAAATACATTACTGAACAAAACCACTGGAAATAATCAAAATTCAACCAATTCACAAGCGAAGGCTTAGAAGTTAAGGAAGCTCTAAAACCTTCACTCCAAAAAGGCTAAAAGATTCAAAACACGTAAAAATCAATACACATAAAAAGCTCTTTATAATATTTTCTTGCCATAATCCCCCATCCTTAACTTTCTTGGCACCCCATGCAGATGTGATGTTGGTGTACAGGTTGAAGACTCCTTGGAACAAGTTCTCAGCGAATTCGATGATCCAGGGCATTTCGGCGGAGGCGTCTGTGGCGCCTGTTCCAAGTGGTTCCAGGCAGGGCACACCATTGGTTCCAGGCAGGTCACGCTATAAATTTCTGCACAGTACGACCCTCCCCCTGAATCCATGCTCTGATACATCCGGCCCCCTTCCAACAACGAGCAAATACGACCCCCCCCCCTTCATAGCATCCGTTAAACAAGAGAAATTATCTGTAAAAACCTTTTCTCAGACCAAATACGACCCTCCCCTCCCTCGCCGTCAAGTAAGACCTGCCGTTGTGATTACCACAACGATGGCGTGCCGTGGTTCCAGGCGGAGCGAATGTGACATTCGCGACGAGGAGGTGAAACTACCACCGAGTGCAAAGGATTTAAATATTTTCGCGCCGGCGCCAGGTTTACGCCAAGCGGTTGTGATGTTCGTATTCAGGAAGTCAAAGTACCTCTGGAACAAATTTTCAGCTGAAGCTGAAAGCCTCAGAGAAAAAGTCTATGAATGGATTGATTCCGGATGATTCGGGCGGAAAGAGAAAAATCTGCGCCTTTGTTTGCACGCTGAGTCTAATTCGACATGGATGATGGGGCGTGTCAGTGCGGCTGCGTTTGCCGTGGCGCCAAACCCATTTTCCACCAAAGCAAGCAGACCAGTTGTTAAGAGGGCAAGCCAATAATTGATGGAAAACGACTGATACCAACGATATGATACAGTCTTGCCATATGTTTATTACAAAACTGAAGGAAAGCGGGTTTGGCAACGCGCCAGTCGCAACCGCACTGAATCGCCTCATCATCGGCATAATGACCTTCATACGGACCAAAGTACTACGCAGGAGGCAGAACAAAAACCTATCTCGAAGGGCTTTTTGGAACTCCTCTTTTGGAATGAATATTGGAGCATCATCCGTTCCCGAACATTCAGATGACTATGAGGACTCGGGCAGAGCAATACTTCATGTTTTTCGGAGTTCCAATGTTAAGACTGCAGATTATAATGGAAATGTCTAATGGAACGGGTCTCATGCATTTGGTTGCAGACTATGTAATATCAAAATCATTGGAAAAACAAGAATAAACTAACGTACTTGCTAAACCCGATAAAGTCTTCATGATTAGTGTTCATGTAGGCAAGTTCATAATCAACAATAAGTGAGATTTGACTTTTGGCATATTGTTCCTTTTCTCGAACCCTAGTGACAACGATTCGTTCGATTTCGTCACGTAAGCGCGGATAACGTGATAGCTGAAAAATCATGCACACACTTATGTGAAGGTAGACCATTGGTATTTCAAGATAATAGGCAAAGCAAAACTAAAATGCGTCAAAATGAAAGACACTGAAAAGAATAAAGCTTTCTCCGTTGATCAATCTCTTTTTTGAGATGTGACACGCGCTCTACTTTTACTCAGAACCAGAGGTTCACTCATTGCGACGCAGCTTAAGACTCACGGGGTCAGCCGTCGTACAAGCCAGTCTCGCAGACACGTCTGGACCAATTTACCTGGCCCGGAGGGTAGAAAGCCTTGCCACTATACTCTCAGCAAGTTTTAATAAGTAGAAAGAAATTAATTCCTACCAACTAACACTTGCCACTATTCATATCAAGACAGGTGGACAATTTCAATCCACATAGCTCTTTCAGAAGGTAAGTAATAACGCTGAACAAAGTACCCTACAGGTGAAGAAACGGGTACTTGAAAAAACCCCCAACATTGCCAAACCCTAGCCGTACCTCGGAATGTCCTACAGAGAAGGTATCGTTGTGAGCGCCTCCGTTATTACTACACAATGCAGACGACTAAATTTGCATGTAGGGTTGTGCTGAAGGCCTGCAACGATGTGCACCGTCACGCTTGCACGTCCATACGTCAAACAGTTGAAGTGTCTGACAAGGAACCTAGCGGTAAACAACCGCCGGCAAAGATGGGAAAGCAAGATGGTAATCGAACAGTGTTGCCGGATTAGCCCGACGTGGTGTTATGGATGCAATTGCTCCCCTTTCCGCAAGTAGCGGTAAATAGCTGCGAAAGAAACAGCACGCGCAAATAACGCTGTGGCAGCGTTCAGAGTTTGCGTTGATGCGCTTCGACGGACTGCTATCGCGAGGACGCCCCACTGTTATAGAAGCGAATCCTGCCGCAGACGGGAATCGATCGGCGCCGGCCGCTTGTGTTTTGGGAGAATATGTGAATAGTAGGGTACGCGTGGCCTAACACGCAGTCTGGTGTCGATCGGCATTGCTCGCTAGGCTTTGAGAGAGTGTAAGGAATAGAATGGTACAGATTGTGTGAAGCCAACGCCCTGCCCTTTTGTTACCCTAGACTCTCTCAAAGCGCCGGCACCGATCGATTAGCGTCTGCGACTGCATTAGCGTCTATAACACTGGAGCGCCTTCGCAGTGGAAGCGCGTTACAGCGCGTCATAGTGAAGTTTGAACGGTGCCTACGGGTGCTGGAGCGTATAAGCTCGAATGGAACTGAGCGCTAACAGGGCTTGGAAACCAGCTGAACTTTATTCGATGTCTGTCGACTGTGACAACACCTTTCCCTTTTCAAATAAGACATTCAGAGTATGCGTTAGCAGCCCGTCACGTGGTAGAATTGCTCCTGAACGTGGCTATCCGGAGAAGTTTAGCACACAGTGGGAAAGGGAATAAGGCCACTTTCAGAGCATACTTGAACACTAAATACACAGCGCTAATTTTGTCAAAGCTAGCAAAACGACAAAAATGAAATTTTGTAAAACTAACACATTCTGCGCATTGTCTTATAACGTTGGCAAGTTCATTTACGACCAGGTCCACACATTTCAACGAGGGCTCTTTCAAGCGTGCAATCTGTTTCTTTGCTATCGCCTCAAATGCCATGTCCGGTGTGAAAAGACCGACCCTGTAATTAGCTTATGCATGGAAAACAGAATGCACCTGCAACCTGAATATTTGGAAGAAAATCGCCAGTACCTGATTCCGTGAATGTTTCGAATGGCAAATTGTATCTCTTTACGCATTTCCTTCTCGTCAATCTCCATCTTGACAATTTCGAAAGGAAATCGCTCATGAAAAAGCCTAAACGAGCACTGTAATAAAATCGCAGGTAAACAGTTTCCTGTGATTCTCGCGCGATTCTTTAAGACAGGAGGAACGGCTAAGACCGCTTACCGGTTAATGCGAGCTCCCCCACTTAGCTCATTTGTTGATACGAGTTTTGCAGAGGAACCTTCGATTGACCTCTCAATATCAACCGTGAACTGCTGCACCATCCTAAGGATTATTCAGAATAAAAAAAATCTGAAAACACTAGAAGAAATGTGGCACTCACTGGAGAAGAGCCTTAGTTTTGCGCCCAGGATCATTCGGTTGAAAATTCTTGTACTCCGCTACGTCTTTTTCCAAAGCAAACAGCTTCTTTTGAAGACTATCTCGTAGAGTTGGCAGTGTATCTCTGTAACAAAATATTAGAAATTGAAAGTTGCAGAATACACAACTCATAAGTCAGGAATGCACTCGCTTTCAAGTTGCTTATGAGTACGATTATTCAGTGTACCATTACCCGTGTGCTGGAGGCAAGTCGCATTTGTTGCGAATCCCCAGCTATTGGGATCGTATTTAGAAGCTCAGGAGAAGGGTCGTATTCAAAAAGATGTTACCAAACGGCAGCACGTGCCCTGACTGGATCCTCTTCGTAAGAGCATACGATCGGCACTCAATCGGAGCACTGAATCGTGGTGTGGGTCGTATTTGGTCCCGATGGAGGGGGCTGGCATCGAGCGGACTTTCTTTCCAAATTTCCCATCTTTTCCCACCTTTTCACATGCCTCGATGCTATACCCTGTACTCACTGTTTATTGCAGACAACTCACCTTTGACGAGCGTGAACTCCTTGCTCGCGCCAGTCCCTCGGCATACAGTACATTCACTCAATATCCCGGATAGGGTAAGCGTGACTGCGTATTTCATTTGAGCTTTAGGATACGATATCGTGGGATATTTCCACATTGAGACAACTGTTATGTCTTTTGCTAGACAAAGCCATGATTACAACTGCCTCTAAAGGCAGTACCCTAGCAAAAGCGCAGGTGCTGCCACCTTACGCAGCTACATCCTCCCCATCTCCGGGATATGGAATGTTTGATGACACCGTACCTGATATGATTGGTAAGCTGCTGATTCAGCGTGCGTTGAAGATACTGTGTGCCCAGGCGATCCGCCATGTGCCTACAAAAGAAAAGAATACTTGCAAACAAAGAAGATCAAGCTTCGCAATATGAAACTAAGTAACTGCAACAAGAGAAGTCATTACCAGTATACAACATCAATCAGCAAATAATGTAACAAACCTGTACGAGGGATGTGACAAGAAAAATTTCCTCTCGGCATCCAGGGCAGCGCGAATATCCTTCTTACCGACAATATCCTTTTGACCACGATTAACTACTCCAACATAACCTAAAACGCCAAAAATATCTAAGCAGAATTCGAATCGAAACGTTGATAGCCAGATCAACGGTTTTATCGATCAGGACACATGAGCATACAATGCTGAACTACTGCAATAATACGATTTATACGATTTTACTACAAAAATAGCGGGGATATCGAGGAGCAATTGCAACTATTTCCATTTTTTCCACCGTTCAATAAAAATATATTTCGCCCGAGGGTCCTCCTATTACTTCCCAAACTCTACAAAGCCGAGTCTACTATAACATCACCGCTACCTGACCTTTCTAGACCCCATCACAAACCTTCCAAACGTGCTTCAATGTTAACATCGTTCAGCTA